CCATGGTTTGTTTTCAGTGTGCTTATTATGATGTGCGAACCAGCCCAAAGAGTCCTACACAGCAGATGGGGTAGTGGTTTTGGAGAGGAAAAAGGCAGAAGGAGACTTATGAAAATGAATCCAATTATAATCAGTCTGGTTAGGGACCCTATTCATAACTAAGTTTCTTTCTTCTTTTAAATAAGTTGTATATACCAATAAAGCTGCAATAAAATGTACATAGCAATGTAAGAGAAGAAAAGCAGAGGAGATACTCTACTGAAGGTACTGACTTCAACTAAGAGCTACAGCATATGAAAAGCAGCCTATTATGTAATTAGGGCAGATAACATGGCAAATAACCCTCAAGCAAAACAGATAGCAGCAATGATATGGGGGTGGGGAGTAAATCCACCAACTTTTTATTTTACCAGTTTGCCAGGTAATAGTGAAAAAGGTCCTGGCGAGAAACTAGGAAGACCTTGAACAACTGTCACTAGAGCAAATAATTCTAGATAACAAGGGATAAACAAGTATACCCTATACAGTTGGACTGGGAACATGTTTCATTTCCTAAATATACCTTGTAGTCTCTCTTTCTTTCTCCTCCTTTCAGTGCAACCCAAAGTAGCAAAGCTCCCTGAGCAGAACCAGTCACATCAATGCACAGTAGGAAAATCAATGTGTTTCAAACTCCTCAATGAGCTTCAAGTTTTCCTGCACATGTACTCCTTTCTCAGATTCCATCTCTTTCATGAGTTCACTGTAATTCCACTGAACTATCCTGGCTCTATCTTCCAGTTGGATGCAGCTTAAAACTTTTGACATTCATTACTTTCTGTAACCTTCCTAATTTCCAGTTTAGTTACAGGTTTTTACCAATGTACAATTCAGTCTGTTGGATGGTAGTGTGTATGTTGCTAAAATAACAGATTTCCCAGCTACCTACAAGCTGGAGATCTGGTCTAGCTAGCAGGTCTCTTAAAATGGTGGACTGGAGGTTGGAACCAATGGTTAATCAAGTAATGTTAAAATCAGTGTAACATTTAAAAAGAAGAAGTTCTACAGATCTCATCATTTCCCAGCCAGCCATGCATGTTGTACTTGCAGGACTTTTAGCAACCTGAACATGCATAGGAATGCATCCTAAATTTTCAAAACTCAATTTTTGCAACTCAAACTACAACTCCCATCATCTGCAGGCAACACAACTGGAGGCTATCAGATTGGGGAAGACTGATCAAGTAGTTTGTGATGAATCTTCAGAGATGTTATGCATGTTCTGTATGTTTGACAAACAAACGTTCTGAGTATATGATAATGAAGTCAAATGGCATTAGGCTATGCAGACCACACTGCACTACAAAATCTAGACTGGACTGAATTCTAATGAAGTAGTACAGCGCATTCACATATTTTCATGAAGCTTGCAAACACTGGAAAACCATAGCTAAGATTCAAAGACACCTGAGATAAACTCAAAAGGATGTTTTACATTTTATCTTTTGTAAACAATCCCCAAGCTATATTAGGTGCTCATGAGCAGTGGTCTGCCAATTTCAATTGCTCGTGGATTAAAATGATTTTTCTGGAGCTGTTTCAGCTGGGCTTCAAGACTGATTTTGATTGCATTGTGAAGAAAAGTATGTGGAGTGTGATCCTGCTGATTCTCTTTCACTTCTCATTTACCATGCTATTTTTTAAAACTTATCTGTGGTAACTATGAAACTATGCTGCACTTTCTACAAACCTAAAAAGCATTGCCACCCTATTTCTGGAGTATGCAGAAACTGGTATGTATATACAAATGCGCAAGTGAGTCACAAATCTACGGCAAGTAAATGAGGCAGACACAAACAGAGGACAAGTAGACAAACCAAATAAGAAGTGAGCAACATAACGGCTCAGTACACATGCCATAGTAATCCAGATTAAAAATCAAGATCTCTGGTTTACTATCCCCTGCCAAGCCAGAATCTCCAGTTACTGACTAAGCCAATGACTAAGAACCCCTGGTTTGTTTAGTCAAATTAGAAAAGAGTTCCATATATCCCAAACTAGTTAACAATCGCCACTCATAACTTTACTTCTGGGGACAATAAAACAATTGTCACATTGATTTCATCTAAAATGAGCTATTATCTTCCTATTGCTATCTTACAATAATGCTCAGGAAAATATAAATGATCTGCACATAATTAATTTTACTGTATGCTTACAATATATTCTGTTTTACAGGCTAATGGACGAATTACATTTGTGCAAGTAAGATAAAGATGGTGGCTGAAATGGGAAAGAGTGCTGCCAGGAAGGATTTCATAACAGGAAGGCTTTGAACGGTCAGACCCATATTTCAACTGCTGCTTCTCTATGTAAGCCCTTCTTTCATACGTATTCACTTCCATTTTCAAGATTCGGTGAGCTGGGTTGCACTAGAAATAAAGCCTTTTCTCTCACCTACCTTCTGTTCTCCAACTTAGGAACCCCTAAGAATTAAGAGTGAAGATGTAACTAATGTAAGCAAGATAACTATTCACAGAAAAGATCCATTCCTACGAATTCTTGAGGGAAACACGAGGGAGTTCACTGCTTCAGACTGCTTATTTTAAATGAAAAGAATACTTGTTTCCTGTTACCTTTAAAGAACCATATTTCTCAGAAATGATAATTTTAAAAAAACCATTTGGCCTCATAAATAGCCAGACAGCATTGTATTTGAACAATGTTAGTGATCCTGTGTCACTGAAACAGTCTGTAAATACCACCAATAGTCGTATGGCAACAACTCTTTAGGGACAATGAATATCTAGATCCTTTTCCATCAAGTTTCGGGACAGGATTTTTATGGAAATAGATTTAGTCACTCTGGTGGATAACCAGCCTATACCAAGAGAAGTCAGGGGTGGTGAAGCCCCATTGATTCTTTTGTATGTCTCAGCAGCATCTGATTCTGCTGGCCACAACATCCTTCCAGATTGGCTCTCTGAGATGAGAATGGAAAGCATCACACTGCAAATGTTCCATTCACATCTTAATAAACAGTTCCAGAAGGTGGTGCTGAGGGACTATTACTCTACCCAATGGCACTCATGTTACAGTGTTCCAGAGGCAAGCTGAATAAAAATAAATGATTTTTAAAATATATTTTTAAAATGTAAATAATTGTATTAACATTAATGCTTTATTTTTTACTTTAAAATAATAAATGAAATACTAAATTTCTTTCACTTAAGGATGCTTACAATTAAATCTCATCATAAATATGCTAAACTTGCATTAACAATATCATAAAAATGAAATTATTTATTCCATTTTGATACTACCCAATAGCTGAAGCTTTCTGGGCAGTTAACAAAAGGTTAAATCACAAACACATACTAATTTAAAAGAATAAAACCATAATAGCAATTGCTGTTGCTATCATTCAGCACAGAAGCATACTAATGGTACCGAATAAAGTGGAATATACAAAAACAAAGTAAAAGGTTTGCATATTAAAATTCTAGGGGAAAAAAGATGTTAATCTGCCACCGAAATAAATATGAAGCTACCTATCAATCAAATATAAACATAATATTTAGTTTATCTCATGAAAATAGCACTGTCTAATCTAGCTACCACTTCCTGCTTTTTGAAAGTTCTGGCTTTCAGTTTCTCTAGCTAAAGTCAGATGTGCAAAAATACAAAAGAATAGTTCACATAAGCCACTGAGGGTCAATTCAACCACTGGGTCTGCTGGCCCCTATTTTGAATATGCAAGCCATGGTACATGCATGTCCTGGCTTATTATGCATATTCAGAATGGCTGCTGGTACAACCTGCAGTGCCCTGCAGATGTGTAGACTTGCTGAACTTTGTGGTGCTAGGATTGTTGCTCTGTGTGTTGGTGGAGGCCAACCAAGCAAGGCACAGAAGTTAAGAAAACATATCAAGGTGGATAAAAATTAATGCTTTAACAACATTAACATGGATCTTGCCCTCCTAGTAACTATTAAATCTTACTTTGACCTATCAGGCATGGATCTTTGTTTCTGTTTGCTACTTTATTTTTTATAGCGCAAGGTTGCACCAAGACAGAGTGAATCAACATGTTCATTAAGGTATTGAATCTTGGCTGTGATGAGTAATAGATATGTAATTGAGTAATGGAGGCCAGTCAATCAATGTAATACAAATAAAATTGTGGGTGGGTGGGTAGTCTGTCTGGGCTGGGAAGCAGTGTTCATGGAATCACTGTTCAAAGGCACCTGAAGGGACATCTAGTCTAATTCTTATTGGTGCAGGAGATTTACTGCTATATCATCCTTAAAAGGCTATGATGAAAGAAAATGCCCACCTTCTGAAATACCCTGTTCTACTGTCAAACACAGAATATATCATCAATACATTCTCCCTAATGCTTTCTTAAAGTAAGTTTTTCTTGTAATTGAACGCCTTCCTACACTCTGAACCAATAAAAAGTACACCATCTATATGACAGCTCTTCCAGTGTTTGAAGATGGCTATTTTATCACCTCCTGTTTCTTCTCCAAGCTAAACATATCTAATTCCTTCAACTTTTCCTCATTGGACTAGGCCTCCAGATTCTCACCATCTTGGCTGCCCTCCTCTGGACACATTCTAGTTTGTTAATATCCTCCTTAAACTTCAGTTGCCAGAACAAGACATATTGATCCAAGTGAGATCCAACCAAAACATTCTGCTGATGCAGCCTAGAATTACATTACTCTTTTAAGCTGCTGCAACACATGGCTGACTCATGTGTAGCATTTGTTTCTTTTTACACATGCTGCTGTGAAGCCATCTGACATCTACCCAGTATTCATGCAACTAATCCTTCTTATCAAGATGCAGAATTTTACATTTATCTGTTAAAAATTCATTAGTTCTGGTTTAATTCTCCATCCTGTCAAGA